TTTTCTTTAGAAAAATTCGTCTCTCTGACACTCCTCCGCTTTGGAAACCGGGCCTTAGTTTTAACAAGGAATAAGGTGGGCAGGTTTAACTATTCTATGATTATCCTGTAGGTTGTTAATAAAGGCATATCCCTTACGTGCTAACATGGCGTAGGACGCATCCAGTAATATTATACACGTGTATAATATTATCTTAATACGTAACTATGCGACCTGGATCCCTGATTGAAATAGACATTAGCAGGCCTGGCTCACTCCGCGCGGTACATCCGATAATTACCTACAGCGAAGCGCCCCGCCGGCGGGTATTATATCAGTCGAGTGTCACGCGCTCGCCCGTCAGGACGCTGGCTTGCGTTTTANTTAAAAGTACCTACAGCTTTTTATATGACGCTATTATTTGTGTACAAATTTATCAATGCATGATGTTGTTTTTTTGCTATTTTACATATATTTTCTAATTACCGTTAGATGAAGTATTAGCCTTATCTAATTACCGTGACCATAAAATTTTTGGATCTCATTTACGCGAAAACCGCTTTGAATAATTTGACGCCTTTACGATTGTTAAATTCGTACTTTTTATGTGTTTTATATTTAAATGCGTTTAAGTCAATTAAGCCAAATTTCAAAAATAATATGGTAATTAGGCTGAGAACGCCTAATCGTGAGAATGGCCGTAAAAATACCCATGTGTACAAGAACGAGTTAGGGCAATAAACTCTACGCATTTCTCATTTTAAACAAAACATACTAGCGACTTCGTACGTATCCCATCCCATTTTTATGTAAAATCCCGTCTTATTGAGCACCTACCTTCTAAAAGGAACCCCATGTGAAGAGACTCCTAGCACTTGTAACTAGTTTCTGAGATTTCGTGATGAGTGAGTGAGTCAGTCAGTCAGTCAATCAGTAACCTTTCGCTTTTATAGATACCTATACTAGATGTGTAGGTAGGTAAATAATCCAAGCTACCAATCTTTGATAGATAAAATAGTTACATGCGAGCTGGATTAGTAGAGTCGTTGCACTAAACTTGCATGCAACACATTTTTAACGGACTTCAAAAAAAGAGGAGGTTATGTTAGACTGTATAAATCTTTTTTTTCTTTCACTAGTATTTTTATGGTATGTCCTGTAGTTTTCCTAAGCGGCTGGTCACCCGAAGGCAACATTTTTCAAGGGCGCGAAACCTTATAGCGCGGCTGTTTATAAAGTTATACGGTACACACGCTTGCTGTGTGATCGTTTAGAACCCTGTAGAACGGTAATAACATAGGTTAGGGGATTATTCCCACATTTTTCCACCCCTCGTTCCCATCGCTGCAACTCCTGTGTAGCCAGGATCCACAGCTTGACTGCCGCGGGACTATTCCCACATCTCGTTACCACCGCTGCAACTCCTGTGTAGCCAGGATCTACAATTCGACCACCAATAAAAACCCAACCAATGAAAACGGGACTATTCCCACCTCTCGTTCCCACCGCTGTAACTCCTGTGTAGCCAGGATCCACAGCTTGACTGCCGCGGGACTATTCCCACCTCTCGTTACCACCGCTGCAACTCCTGTCCTGTGTAGCCAGGATCTACAATTTGACCACCAATAAAAACCCAACCAATGAAAACGGGACTATTCCCACCTCTCGTTCCCACCGCTGCAATNGTGGTGGGAACGAGAGGTGGGAATAGTCCCTTCAGAATTTAGTGAACTTTTTAGAAGCTGTGTAGTCTTACTTATTTTTAATTGTTAATTTTTCATAAGTAAACAATTAAAATTAAAATCTAAGTACGTGAAATGTTTTTTATTTATGTAAATATTACGTCTTTTCAACAATGGTTATGTTAACAAAACAAAAACAATAACTAGGTACGTCAAACTTTAAAATCATGTACTTGTTTAGGAAACAAGAACTTGTAAGACAAGCAGAAAGTACTAATTTAACCCAAGGTTTTTAATTTATTATTATTTTTTTATTTATTCCTTCGGACTATATTAGTTTTCATTTATTATTTACTAGCTTTACGCCCGCGGCTTCGCCCGCGTGGAATTTTGTGTCACATAAAAACGTTATCGCGCGCGTCCTGTTTCAAAAACCGGGATAAAAACTATCCTGTCCTTTCCCGGGACTCAAACTATCTCTATGCCAAATTATTTCTTCAAAATCAGTTCAGTGGTTTAGGCGTGAAAGCAAGACAGACAGACAGACAGAGTTACTTTCGAATTTGTAATATTAGTATAATAGACTAGTGACCCCCTCCTGCTTTGCACAGGTACAATGTAATAATATACCTGGGTGAATATCCCAAACACGTTTTTTACGCGGCGGAGCTGAGAATCGATGGGAGAAATGTAACTAGAGCGATGATTTTTTTCTGTATATAGTTTATACAGCGTTTTACACGATAGCAAAGNGTTAAGGTTTAGCACTTACTCAGTCCGTGCCTGAGGTATGGAAGCGGCACGGGAGGGTGTTTTTGAGACGTCATTATGCTTCAGATTTGCCGTTCCCATAAATGAGGTTACTGACTGTTTATAGTTCCAAAATACTGAATTGTCCTATCCATGACATTGACAGTGGGGCGCCACCGTCAATACCGGATCGCTGGTTCCGATTTTTGCCATGTTGGAAACCATATAGTTGAAAGATGGTAGCGCCCCCCTGTCATTGAGTTTGGTGGGACAGTTCAGAGGGTCTAGACAAAGTGCAAATTATAATCGCAAACCAGTCGAAAAGTGGTCGAAAAGCCCCTTTTTTGTATGGAGTTTTGACGGATTCGATTTTCGATTCGATCAAAAAGTGCGTTTTGTCTAGAGGGCCAGCGTGGGTCATCTTTAACAAGAACCTTTGTTTTGTCACCTGTCATCCGCTTTACACTGGACTATGTTCTTCTGATTAATTTCGTTGCGAGTCCAATGACAGTAACTTTCCCCCGGGACAAACTTGACCTTCACTGGTTGGGTTATTAGCGGTCAAGCTGTAGATCCTGGCTACACAGGAGTTGCAGCGGTGGGAACGAGAGGTGGGAATAGTCCCTTCACAATTTAGTGAACTTTTAGAAGCTGTTGGTTGTAGTCTTACTTATTTTTAATTATTAATTTTTCATAAGTTAACAACTAAAATTAAAATGTACGTGAAATGTTTTTTTCTACGTAAATATTACGTCTTTTCAACAATGGTAATGTTAACAAAACAAAAACAATCATACGTCAAACTTTAAAATCATGTACTTGTTTAGGAAACAAGAACTTGTAAGACAAGCAGAAAGTAATTTAATCAAGGTTTTTAATTTATTATTATTTAAAAATTCATTCCTTAGGACTACAGTTTTAATTTATTATTTACTAGCATTCCGCCCGCGGCTTGGCCTGCGTGGAATTTTGTCTGTCACAGAAAAACGTTATCGCGCGCGTCCCTTTTTCAAAAACCGGGATAAAAACTATCCTATGTCCTTTCTCGGGACTCAAACTATCTCTATGCCAAATTATTTCTTCAAAATCAGTTCAGTGGTTTAGACGTGAAAGCAAGACAGACAGACAGACAGAGTTACTTTCGAATTTGTAATATTAGTATAATAGACTAGTGACCCCCTCCTGCTTCGCACAGGTACAATGTAATAATATACCTACTTAAAAACCTTCCTCTTGAATCACTCTACTTAAAAAAAACCGCATCCAAATCCGTTGCGTAGTAGTTTGTTTTAAAAAAATAATAATATTTTATGTAGTGATATTTTTATTTATTTATTCCTTCCCACAGCGTGTGACGAGATGTGGTGGTGGGATTGGGAATAAGTAAGTAGTCCCGTTTATTAACGACTTTCCTTCGTTTCGTTGCAAAGCAGGATATTATGAAAAAAAGATTTCTTATGCCCGTTTTCACCATCAATCCCTAATTTTCAAGTGATCCCTCTATGAAAAGAAAGTAAATTCCTGTTATGTTGTGTTAATACCATATGGGTCGCTTAAAAATTAGGGATTGATGGTGAAAACGGGCAAAGTTAAGTTTTTAAACAATTCCTAAGTTTATTGCAGGAATCTTGAGAGATTTTGCCTGATTTAGGTTATAGTCAGAGAAGAGAAACATTGGAAAAACGTTTCTAAAATCATTTTTCTTCATGTTTGTATAAGGTGTTAGAGATTAATTAATCGATTAATTGTCATCACTATAAATAGACAAAGAATAAAGATGAGTAAGTTGGTAGGTTAGACTGTTAGTTTAATTAAGTTTATTTTTTTAGTTTAGGTACCGTTGGATTAATTGACTACTTAATAATCACAAAATAGACAAAGAATAAAGATATAGGTACAGACAGACAGTAGTCTAATCTATTGTATGTTCTAATTATCAACAGTGACTAACTCTAATTGTTGAATGCTATTAGCTATGACGCAATCTATCAGATGAATTAATCCATTATGTTTTCCTTTGTAAAGTGATAATTTATTATGTTTAGTTTAAAAACAGTTTGTTTAGATACTTAAAAAAGCACAGAGAAAATTTAATCTACATATAACTCAAAGGTGACTGACTGACTGAACTGACTGACATAGTGATTTATCAACGCACAGCCCAAACCACTGGACGGATCGGGCTGAAATTTGGCATGCAGGCAGATGTTATTGACGTAGGCATCCGCTAAGAAAGGATTTTACGAAACTCCACCCGCCCATCACCCGCGATATCGTACGCGTGGATCCCGTTTTATCCCTTAGGGGTTGAATTTTGCAAAATCCTGTCCTAGTGAGCATCTACGTTCTAAAAGGAACCCCCATGCAAAATTTGACACTCCTAGCACTTGTAGTTTTTGATATTTCATGATGAGTGAGTGAGTCAGTCAGTCAATCAGTAACATTTCGCTTTTATAGATATATCTAGATAGCCTTGTCACACTCTAACCGTCTTTCCTTCACTACCACCACCATACTGTCAGTCACAATGTCTGGTGCGCTTCAGTCTTTGGGCCCCAATAATAACGGATTATATTTCTTCTTTTGCAGACGATGGTGTGTATCGTGCCTATGGAGTACTGCCACGTTGCTGATACACAGGCTGTTGGCTGGACACGCCTTGAGACCTTCCATTGCAGGTGAGACCATAGAATCCTCATCATCAAGTAATTTATTCAGTCTCCATTGCAGGAGGACGACCCTCTCTTATCAGAGGCAAATGGAGTATTTGGCCTACACTCTCCACGCTGGCCAGACGGGTTGGGGAGGCTTGATATTCGCATAGTTATCCTTTAGTCGCTTTCTACGACATCCACAGAACGAGACGGAAGTCCTATTTAAGGATGTAGCACACTTATCAACCCGGATAGCGATCGTAACCGTATCAACTAGAGGCGGTCAGTATTCTTTGTATGAAACTCCATACTGCAACGCACACTTATCCGCACCGTAACGTAAACGCCTCGCGGTTGACAGCGCGCGAAAGGCGATACGGTGTTGATCCCATTCCGAGTTGATAAGTCTGCTATTACTACCTTCAATGAAAAATGCATCCTACTTAGTCGTCTCGCCCCCTTAACAGGGACATTTGGGAGGATTTTTCATCATTCCGGTCAACCTGTGATGTTACTCCGAAAAATCTTATCGAATGATGCCATCTCTCTCACATAAAGCGTGATGCCAACATGAGCGACGGTGACAGATGGACCCGTAACTACGTAAACAGTGTTGCTGGCTTCGTCGTTTCGGGGTGGATGCCATCTTCTTCTTCTTGTCGTGTCAACAACAAACCTATAGTGTCAGCCCAAAACCCCGCCACAAAACGTTGTCAGTAGCCTTCAATTAATCTTCCGCCGTGCAGTTGTATGCCATAAGTAGATGACTTTAATTCCACTCCAACCTCGTTGTTTCTAAAACGAGCAAAGATTGAGTAGCTTAAAATAATATCCTAAAACTTTCTTCTTTCAGCGAGCAAGCCGGCGAAGCAACGGGTGGCCGGTACAGAACACCTCCATCCGATCCCGAAGGTGGAATGCCAGGTGTTACACGCGCCCACCCATCACAGCATCGACGTCATATTCGTGCATGGACTGTGTGGTAAGAGGATCTTCATCAGCTCTCTGCATCAACATCATTTAAGCCACAGGACGTCCACTGCTGAAAATAGGCCTNTGCTCAGTAAGTTGGTAGGTTAGACTGTTAGTTTAATTAAGTTTATTTTTTGAGTTTAGGTACCGTTGGATTAATTGACTACTTAATAATCACAAAATAGACAAAGAATAAAGATATAGGTACAGACAGTAATCTAATCTATCTAATTAACAACAGTGACTAACTCTAATTGTTGAATGCTATTAGCTATGACGCAATCTATCAGATGAATTAATCCATTATGTTTTCCTTTGTAAATACGTGATCATTTATTATGTTTAGTTTAAAAACAGTTTTTTTAGATACTTAAAAAAGCACAGAGAAAATCTAATCTAAATATTATAACTCAAAGGTGACTGACTGACTGACATAGTGATCTATTGAATCAACGCACAGCCTAAACCACTGGACGGATCGGGCGGAAAGGCTTGCAGGTAGATGTTTGAAGTAGGTATCCGCTAAGAAAGTAAGTATTTTACGAAACTCCACCCGCGGCCGTCCGCGACTTCGTACGCGTGGACCCCGTTTTACCCCCTTAGGGGTTGAATTTTGCAAAATCCCGTCTTAGTGAGTACCTACGTCCAAAAGGAACCCCCGTGCAACATTTGAGACTCCTAGCACTAGTCTAGTACCTAGTTTCTGAGATTTCGTGATGAGTGAGTGAGTCAGTCAGTCAGTCAGTCAGTCAATTAGTAACCTTTCGCTTTTATAGATATCTATAATATGTCTAGATAGCCTTGTCACACTATAACCGTCTTCTCTTCATTACCACCACACTGTCAGTCACAATGTCTGGTCCGCTTCAGTCTTTGGGCCCCATTAATGACGGATTTTATTTCTTCTTTTGCAGACGATGGTGTGTATCGTGTCTATGGAGTACTGCCACATTGCTGATACACAGGCTATTGGCTGGACACGCCCTGAGACCTTCCATTGCAGGTGAGACCATAGAGTTTTCCTTATCAGGTTCATTTATGCAGTCTACAATGCAGGAGGACGACCCTCTCTTACCAGAGGCAAATGGAGGATTTGGCCAGACGGGTTGGAGAGGCTTGATGTTCGCATACTTATCCTTTAGTCGCCTTCTACGACATCCATAGAACGAGAGGGAGTATAGCACACTTATTAAATCAACCCGGATAGGGATAGTAACCGTATCAACTAGAGGTGATCAGTATTCTTTGTATGAAACTCATCATTTTTTCATCATTCCGGTCAACCTGTGATGTTACTCCGAAAAATGTCTTATCGAATGATGCCATCTGTCTCACATAAAGCGTGATGCCAACATGAGAGACGGTGACAGACAGACCCGAAACTACGTAAACAGCGTTGCTGGCTTCGTCGTTTCGGGGTGGATGCCATCTTCTTCTTCTTATCGTGTCGACAACAAACCTACAGTGTCAGCCCAAAGTCCGCCATCAAAAGTGGCGTTGTCAGTAGCCTTCATTAAATCTTCTTGCGTGCAGTTGTATGCCATAAGTTGATGACTTTTCCACTCCATCCTCGTTGTTTCTAAAACTAGCAACGATTGAGTAGCTTAAAATAATATCCTAAAACTTCTTTCAGCGAGCAAGCCGGTGAAGCAACGAGTGGCCGGCACAGAGCACCTCCATCCGATCCCGAAGGTGGAATGCCAGGTGCTACACGCGCCCACCCATCACAGCATCGACGTCATTTTCGTGCATGGACTCTGTGGTAAGGGGATCTTCATCAGCTGTCTTTAAACCTCTCATCATCATCATCAGTGGTCGCCCCAAGCATACTTGGCGGCGTACTGTAGCAGACGAGGCGAAGAAAATCGCCAAGACCTGGAGCGAAACGCGAAACTCAAGACCGAACGCGACGGAGGACTGTTAAGGACGTCCTCTGCCCCATCTAGGGGACATAATAGGGCCTTAAGTCAAATCAAGTAAAGTCATCATCATCATCTCAGCCACAGGATGCCCACTGCTGAACATAGGCCTCCACCAATGATTTCCACATCGGCCGGTTGGTAGCGACCTGCATCCAGCGCCTTCCTGCAGTTCCTGCTACATTTATGAGGTCGCCGGTCCACCTTGTGGGTGGACGTCTCAAGCTGCGTTTTCGGGTACGTAACCTCCACTCCAGAACCTTGCTGCCCCATCGGCTGACAGTTCTACGTACTGTGCCCGACCCGTTGCCCCTTCAGCTTGCTAATCCGTCGGGCTATGATGTCTTGCCAAATGGTTTCGAACTCTTGAAGCGCTGGTAGGGCAAAAAGATTATGAGACGTAAAGGCCGTGTGGTCTTGGAAGACCCCCTGTCTTAGAACCATATCCCGGGACAAACTTGACATTAAATGGTTGGGTTTTGCAGCAGTGGGAACGAGAGATGGGAATAGTCCCGGTTGTCTCAGAACCAGAGATCCCGGGTTCGATTCCCGATGGGACAATATTGTCGGGAACTCCCAAAATACCTACAACAATGCTTTTAACATTGTTATTATGGGAATAAACGTTGGTAAGATGGTGGTGACTTTTATTAGTAGAAAATACTAACGTAGAAAAACACTTTCAGGATCCCTCGGCAACACCTGGAGACAGGGTGACTGGCGAGAGAAGTACGAACTCGAACCCAGCAGGGTTCCCCTTCTCAGACCTTCGCCCTGCCAGTGCATAGACAAACGAACCCAGAAGAACTTCGAAAACGACTTCAAAAACATCGACGACTTGTACAAATTCAAGAAAATCATATCCAACGATGAAGCGTTTACCACAGAGAAGTTTTTTAACGAAACTCTAGATCAAGTTGAGATATTGGATAACTTCGAAACTCAAGCGCAGTTCGTTCGTGATTTGTTCGAAAATGAGAATAGAGAAGAGAAGTGTGAAGAAGTGAAGCCTGAAGAAGTGGATTGTGTGTGTAAAGTGACTGAGGGTAGGCAGTGTGAAGTGGGCTGTGGGTGTGTGTGTGATGAGTGCTACTCCACTTGCTGGCCAAGAGACTGGATTAAGGAAGACTATCCTGAAGCTAGGGTCATATCTATAAACTATACTAGTGACCCGTACTTGTGGAGGCCGCTGTGGATCAAGCAATGCAAAAGGTAAATTAGCATTGTTGGATTCTTTAATTCAATTTACACTTAAGGTTCGGTCAAACCAACGCGATCACACGCGATCAGCCGGCGTGCAGCGATGGCGATCGATGCATTTCTATCTAATCAATAAATGTTTCTTTCTTTCTCGCCATCGCTGCACGCCGGCTGATCGCGTGTGATCGCGTTGGTTTTTGCATGCCTCGCAGAGCTGATGGCCGCTGGGAAAAAAAAGTTCTCGAGTGGCGACCACCAGTCGGAAGAGGTGTGTAGGCAGGTACCACTAGGTAGACTTACGATCTGGTGAACATGGCTGAATTCGGGCAATGCAGGAGGCAGGAACGATCGTTTGGGGGAGGCCTTTGTCCAACAGTGGACGTTATTTGGCTGAAACGAGGATGAACGACTTTTTCCACCTTCCCAAACTGTCTAGCCAGCGTGGGGAGTGTAGGCCAAATATGTACTCCATTTGTCTTTAGTAAATTACCTGATAAAGGTAGCAGGAAGGCGCTGGATGCAGGCCGCTACCAGCCGTGCGATGTGGAAGTCATTGGGGGAGGCCTATGTTCAGCAGTGGACGTCCTGTGGCTGAAATGATGATGATGATGAAGAAGTCATGCTCCTGCAGTGGAGACTAAATGACCAGTGGGTCTAGTCAAAACGCACTTTAAAATCGCAAACCCAGCGCAAACCAGTCGCAAACAAATTAACCCTTATTCAAATAAAGGTAGATATATTACCACTTTGTTTACTTTTAAAAAAGGATCCTAATTTTCGATATGGTAATACTTAAAGATATCTTGGTCACTTATTTATATTTTTAAATATATTTTTTTACTTATCTATGCCATTTTACAACTTTTCAACGTCATTTGTCACTGTCAGATAATGTCAAAGTCAACCAAACGGTTTTGGTGTAAACAATTTCAAGTTTTTAGCGCACGTTTTTAGTATTTTGGAAACTTTGTTCAACGAAAATTCTGATAAGTGTTTTTTGGATTCAAATTCCTAAACTATAACATTTATTGTATTTTCTTACTTATAGGCAAAGTCTGCAATTGATTTATTCATATAATTTAGACATTTTAAAGAAGTGGTAAATAGTTTACCATTGTCCGATCCCGTCTTGACAAAAGTCTGAGCCCCGATTACGGTAACTTTTAACGTCAACAATCCAGACACGCTTCTCGATTCTGCGATACGATTGGTCGTTCAACAGCGTACGTCAGCTGTTTTAACCAATCGTATCGCAGAATCGAGAAGCGTGTCTGGATTGTTGACGTTAAAAGTTACCGTAATCGGGGCTCTGATGATATATAAAAAAACTGTTGTTTTTTGTATGTGCACAAATAAAACTAAATAAATATTTGGAGAAATGTTAAGTTATTTTGATAACTATTTACGTAACGTTTTGACGTTACGTAATTAGTGAATTGTTAGTTTCAGACTCAAGGTAAGCATCCTAATTTTAAGCATAATAACTAATATTAATCAATATTATTTTAAATAAAAACAATAAATTTATTTCATTCCCAAAATATTTAATAAAATATAGGCAGAAGCAAGAGGAATTCACTAGTCAAGAACCAAAAATAAACCAAAACGGACAATGGTAACTATTTTACCACCAACATTTAATAATTTGTAGTCATGAATGGATAATGGTAAATTATTTACCACCCAAAAAACTACCCCTTCCCCTATTTTTTTATAAATGTTGATCAAAAATATGAAATAAGTGACCCACAATTACCCAAAATCCACTTCAACTTTGTAAAAAAAATGCATACCAGCTCGCGTTTGAATAAGGGTTAACAAATCGCAAAAGAGGTCGATAACAAAAAAGGCTTAGTCAAACGGCAAAAACTCGAATCGCAACACCCGCCATTTTCATTGCGATTACTAAAACCCCGGTGATAAGCTTGGATTCGATCGAAAACCAATAGGGTGAGTTGCACCACCTAACTTTAAACGTAACTATGACGTTAACCGGTGTTTTTTGTATGGAGCTTGACAGATTTTAGACGTTTGTCAAAGTTAAACTAAGATGGTGCAACCCACCCTAAGGCTGTTTTGACAAATCCGTATCGCGATGTCGTTTTGACAGCTAGTTTGACAGCGAAGCATAGACGTAAACAGAGAGCAGAAAGAAGGAAGAAAGTAATTTAAAAAAAAAAGCTAGAAAAAGTAAAAACAATCGCAGTCATAGACATTTTTTAACTTTTATTCGATTTTGAATGAACTTTAATATCGCCGCGTCGTTGGTGGTTCAATGTGCATTTTGGCTGCCATTTTCCGATCGAATCGAATCACTGGTGACGCGGCGACTGACATTAGTGAAAACTTCCCATTGGTTTGCGATGGCATTTTGACTAGACCCACAGAGGTGGAATTGTGTAATAAAGTCAGATAAACAAAGCGTTTGACAGAATAATCGTACGTTATGAACTGTCAAATGATTACGATTGCTTTACACAATTCCACCTCTGATGATGATGACCTTATTTTCTAGGCTGCGGCTACACGAGAGAGCGGATCAGATGACGAAGCAGCTTCTAGAATTAGGCGTGGGAGAGAGACCGATCATTTGGGTCGGCCATTCGAAAGGGGGACTGTTTATTAAACAGATATATTGCGAAGGTAACTACCGTCTCTGTAGTCCAGTTTTAAAGGATTTTGGATGCGTTCTGCAGTCAAATGTGATGTAAAACCACACCGCTGACTGATTGCCCTGATCAACAATGTTGTTCATAACTAAAGTCCGGTCGCCGAGCAGATAGAATTTCGTCGAATGACCCCAAGCTACTCTTCATACCCTTTCCAGGGCACTTGTACACGTCCCAAATATAGCTTGCCCTACCACCACTTCGGGACAACATATTATGGGCTGGTGCTGAGAAGAAGTGGCAGAAGAAACTCAGCCCAACTCAACTTTGAATTATTATTAAATAGACACAATTTTAAGTACCAAATTAATTAAAATTTAATTCCTCAATTTATTTCAGCTTACGAAGCCCATTTGCAGAGTCAAAAAGACAATATTTCTAATACCCTCACAAAAGCAAACGAAGACAAAAATTCATCATTTAAAGATGAAAACGAAACTAATAATGCTAACGACATTGAAAATAATAACGACAATGTTATTAATGAAAGAAACGAAAAGACAATGAACGAGTTAAATTGTAATATTAATGAAGTTAATAATATTGGATATGAAAACGATAATGTGTTAATAGAAGATAGTGAAAAAGAAAATGTAACAGAAGATGAAAATAAAGAAGAATGTAATGAATCCAATGCAGAAAGTCAAATTGTGAAGTTGGAAAGAGAAATTAGTGAAAAAGATTCGTCTTCAAACAGTCAAGGTAAGATTATAAATTATTCAGTAAAGATGTTTAGCAATGGACGTCCTGTGGCTGAAATGATGCGTTTGATCGCTATTGATCGATTTTCTTCGCCTCGTCTGCTACCAGTGCGCCGCCATGTTAGCTGGGGGCAACCACTTCTTTCTTTTATCATCATCATCATTTCAGCCATAGGACGTCCACTGCTGAACATAGGCCTCCCCCAATGATTTCCGCAATGGCCGGTTGGTGGCGACCGGCATCCAGCGCCTTCCTCGTAAAGGGTCGTCGGTTCACCTTTTGGGTGGAAGTCCTACGCTGCGCTTTCCGGTACGTGACCTCCACTCCAGAACCTTGCTGCCCCATCGGCCGTCAGTCCTGCATACTTTGTGCCCTGCCCATTGCCCCATCGGCTGTCAATCGGCTAATCCGTCGGGCTATGTCAGCGATTCGTTACGGATCTCCTCATTTCTGATTCGATCTCGTAAAGCATTGGTTCCCAAACCTATTTGAGACGCGCCCTCATTCGACCATTCAAAAAATTCCTCGCCCCGCCTCCTCCAGTCAAGATTATTTCTTGGTCGTATCGAGCAGTCTGGAATGCATTCTCTCAGCGGTCGCAGGTTTTTTATACTTAACTACACAGATGGCCCGCGCCTCCCTTTAAAGGTCTTTGCGCCTCCACTGGGGGGCGCGTCTCTCACTTTGGGAACCAATATCGTAAAGAAACACCATATCACGCTGTGAAACTTTGAGCTGATGATGATAACATCAAAATAACTTGCAGAAGACTCCAGGTCGCAGCAAGCTAGCCTCTGGCTGAACAGTGCCGGATTCATGTTCTATTCAGTGCCGCATCGAGGGTCCCCGCTGGCGGACATCAAGACACCCATCACGGCTAGAAGCATTGAGATCTTGGAGATCAGTAAAGGTCAGTATTTTTCAGACACACACTAGTGACAGATTTACCAAAGAAGCCAAATGTAGTCGCGCGACTGCAAAATGTCGTAATGTGTAGTAAGTTCCCTTAAACCTTTGTTTCCTTAATAAAGAAAAATAAAAATAAACATGTCCTACCTCCATAGCTTGTACTACCACCACTTCGGAACAAAATATCGACTGGTGCTGACAGAAGGAATGAGGGGAAAGAAAAAAATAGCCTACTAAAAGCCGGTCTCTGAGCACTTAATATTTTGTCCCATCAGCTACCCATCCTTATCGCTCGCGCGTAATTATGTTGCTGTCGCGCTCGCACACTCACTGCGGGCGCCCGTCGCACAGTCGCGACAGCAATATAATTACGCGCGAGCGATAAGGATGTGTAGCTTGGGGTCATTGGACGAAATTCTACGTGCTCGGAGACCAGACTAGTACACATTAAAGACGCGCGTATACTTTGCTGAGTGTCTCAAAATTAGCACATTATTGATGACTTTTGAAACTTCTATGGACCATATTAGGCTTGTTCGATCGATGCGTCTTCTTATGACTTCCAGTGTTAGCATAATGCTAATTTTGGGACACCTTGTATGCATAAGCACACATCTGCACACGCCAGTTTAACAGTAGGTTGAAGCCTATGGCGGCAAAGAGACTACAAATTGGTCTTACATATTGGTTCATATTCATACTGTCAAATTAATAAGTAGTTAGTAGGATGAGGGGAAAGGGAAAATAATCTACCGGAAGCAAATTCCTAAATCCACTGACACAATAACACAGAAATACTCAATATTCATTTTGTCACATGTAAAATTAAAATTTTCCCTTACTAGAAAACTAATTAGGAAAATCACGGCTAGGATATTGTTATGACGATTGAATCTAAACGCGAAAACTCGCGGACATCAACATTTTTATCCGGCTCGAAGGACCAAAATCTTGTATTCATCATCATCAACAGCCCTTTACAGTCCACGGCTGGACTATTCGCCTCCTCCACTATAGTGGAGGGTTTTGCCATAATCCCCACGCTTGGCAGGCGGGTTGGAGATCGCAGTTTAAAAGATTGATGTTTTTCAGAGAGCGCTGCTGCCCGTTCTCTGTTTGATGTGTAGTCCCTAAGTCGCCTCTTACGACACCCGTGGGAAGAGTAGGGGTTGGTGACAAATGTATTCTACTCTGCCGTCACCACACGGCTTAATCTTGTATTAAAAACCTTTTATTTCCGCTTCCAGATTGCTCCCTCGTCCTGTCCCTGCAGGACCGGTGGTTGAAGGCGACGGACCCGTCCCGGCCGCCGGTTCGGAGCCTGGTGGAGACATGCAAGACTCTTATGTCGGTGCTTTGGTTGAGGATCGTGAGCGTGCCTTCTGCTGGTAAGATTAGAATACAGTACTAGTTTGATTTCTTTGTTTCAGTAAAAAGATGTCCACTGCTGGACAAAGGCCTACTCTAAAGGTGAGCATAGTCCGCGTCAGGTACTTCCCGCGACCTTCACCAGGTCGTCGGTCCACCGAGTGGGAGCCCTGTCCATTTAGAGATTTTTGATAAATAAATAATAATAATCTATAATAAAAAATTACCAATTCTTTTTTAAAATGTTCGTTGAAGTCCAAGGATGGTTTTTACGGCGAGATTTGCAAAATTCAACTCCTAAGGGGGTAAAACAGTGTCCACGCGTACAAAGTCGCGGGCGGCCGCTAGTAAATACAAATATCTCTGGACAAACTCGGTGGGAACAAATTACTTACTTTACAAAGTAAAATTTACATAAAATCAACTAACATTACCTCTTTTTTCCAGACGCAGGCATAGGCTCCCTATACGGCGTTCCAGTTGACCACAGAGAGATATGCAAGCCGACCAGTCGCCACTGTATGCTGTACAAAGAACTAATGACCCTCATGCATGCGGCGCTCAAGAAATGCAGATGCGAGAGCGAGANCATCACAGTTGGGAGGCCTACCAACGCTAGCAAAAGGGCAAAGGCCTCCTTCAAGGGTTTCTATAACGATCGCTGCGCTATCCTTCACTAGATCATCGGGCTACCAAATGGGACACTCGAGAACTGCCCTAGGAATCAGATCAACGAGCTATCCTAACAATAGTATCTTTTTGTAAGCTTTTAATAGCCTTCCCTACCCGTCAGGCCAGTGTGAGGAGTATAGGACAAATCCTCCATGTTGTCTTTGATAAATTGGAGAGGGATTGTGCTCCTGGAGTGGAGACTAAAGAACCTGATGATGATGATGACCTTATTTTCCAGGCTGCGGCTGCACGAGAGAGCGGATCAGATGACGAAGCAGCTTCTAGAATTAGGCGTGGGAGAGAGACCGATCATTTGGGTCGGCCATTCGAAAGGGGGACTGTTTATTAAACAGATATATTGCGAAGGTAACTACCGTCTCTGTAGTCTAGTTTTAAAGGATTTTGGATGCGTTCTGCAGTCAAATTTGATGTAAAACCACACCGCTGACTGATTGCCCTGATCAATAATGTTGTTCATAACTAAAGTCCGGTCGCCGAGCAGATAGAATTTCGTCGAATGACCCCAAGCTACTCTTCATACCCTTTCCAGGGCACTTGTACACGTCCCAAATATAGCTTGCCCTACCACCACTTCGGGACAACATATGGGCTGGTGCTGAGAAGAAGTGGCGGAAGAAACTCAGCCCAACTCAACTTTGAATTATTATTAAATAGACACAATTTTAAGTACCAAATTAATTAAAATTTAATTCCTCAATTTATTTCAGCCTACGAAGCCCATTTGCAGAGTCAAAAAGACAATATTTCTAATACCCTCACAAAAGCAAACGAAGACAAAAATTCATCATTTACAGATGAAAACGAAACTAATAATGCTAACGACATTGAAAATAATAACGACAATGTAATTAATGAAAGAAACGAGAAGGCAATGAACGAGTTAAATTGTAATATCAATGAAGTTAATAATATTGGATATGAAAACGAGAATGTGTTAATAGAAGATAGTGAAAAAGATAATGTATCAGAAGATGAAAATCAAGAAGAATGTAATGAATCCAATGCAGAAAGTCAAATTGTGAAGTTGGAAAGAGAAATTAGTGAAAAAGATTCGTCTTCAAACAGTCAAGGTAAGATTATAAATTATTCAGTAAAGATGTTTAGCAATGGACGTCCTGTGGCTGAAATGATGCGTTTTATCGCGATTGATCGATTTTCTTCGCCTCGTCTGCTACCAGTGCGCCGCCATGTTAGCTGGGGGCAACGACTTCTTTCTTTTATCATCATCATCATTTCAGCCATAGGACGTCCACTGCTGAACATAGACCTCTCCCAGTGATTTCTACAATGGCCGGTTGGTAGAGGCCTGCATCCAGCGACTTCCTAAAAAAAATCGTCGGTCCACCTTGTGGATGGACGTCCTACGCTGCGCTTTCCCGTACGTGACCTCCACTCCAGAACCTTGCTGCCCCATCGGCCGTCAGTCCTGCATACTTTGTGCCCTGCCCATTGCCCCATCGGCTGTCAATCACTTCAGCTTGCTAATCCGTCGGACTATGTCAGCGATTCGTTACGGATCTCCTCATTTCTGATTCGATCCCGTAAAGCATTGGTTCCCAAACTTATTTGAGACGCGCCCCCATTCGACCATTCAAAAAATTCCTCGCCCCCGTCCTCCAGTCAAGATTATTTATTGGTCATATCGAGCAGTCTGGAATGCATTCTCTCAGCGCAGCGGTCGCAGGTTTTTATACTTACCTAAGTACACAGATGGGCCGCGTCCCCCCTTTAAGGGCTATATTTTACAGGGACACCATGGCTGCGCAACCAGTCGCCGGCTACCAACAAAATGTATGCAGCTTTGCGCAACCAAACGGACACCAGGTGAGTAACTCTCTATAGAGCTGCATACATTTTGTAGGTAGCCGGCGACTGGTTGCGCCGCCATGGTGTCCCGGTGAAATATAGCCCTAAAGGTCTTTGCGCCTCCACTGGGGGGCGTGCCCCCCACTTCGGGAACCAATATCGTAAAGAAACACCATAACAGGCTGTGAAACTTTGAGCTGATGATGATAACATGAAATTACTTGCAGAAGACTTCAGATCGCAGCAAGCCAGTCTCTGGCTCAACAGTGCCGGCTTCATGTTCTATTCGGTGCCGCATCGAGGGTCCCCGCTGGCGGACATCAAGACACCCATCACGGCTAGAAGCATTGAGATTTTGGAGATCAGCAAAGGTCAGTATTTTTTTAGACTTGTACAAACGTACAAAGGTTGTCCCAAAATTAGCAGGTCACTCTGTCACCAGCGATTGATGAGCCTAACGCCCGTATCCACAAACGATGCTTGCTTAAGTGAAGCAGCAAATCGAACGCACAGTGTTGAATAGAGCTCTGTGATTGGTTCGTGTGTCACCCTGTGCGTCCACGCGCACTGTGAGACCTCATAGCAATGTTTGTGATTATACGGTCGTTAGACTTGTACACACAAATGCCTATGTCGTGGGCCGATCGTTGCATTGGCCACATCGTGATGTGCCCGGGAATATCGTGATACGGCGACACTTCATGATCTGTCCATCTTACACCAGCCATATCATTCGACGTTTACTTAAAGTTTGACGATATTTTTTTATAAACCTTTTATTTCCAGATTGCTCCCTCGTCCTGTCCCTGCAGGACCGGTGGTTGAAGGCGACGGACCCGTCCCGGCCGCCGGTTCGAAGCTTGGTGGAGACATGCAAGACTCTCATGTCGGTGCTTTGGTTGAGGATTGTCAGCGTACCTTCTGCTGGTAAGAGAATAATACAGTACAAGTTTGATTTCTTTATTTCAGTAAAAAGATGTCCACTGCTGGACAAAGGCCTCCCCAAAGGGTGAGCATAGACTAGAGCATGTACTTGTAACCATTGATAACTTGTAACAAAACAACGAGCTGCTCTATAGTCTGATCGCCGAGCACCTAGAATTTTGTCCAATGACCCCAAGCTACCCATCCTTATCGCTCGCGCGTAATAATATTGCTGTCGCGACTGTGCGACGGGCGCCCGCAGTGAGTGTGCGAGCGCGACAGCAACATAGTTAATTACACGCGAGCGATAAGGATGGGTAGCTTGAGGTCATTGGACGAAATTCACGTGCTCGGCTACCAGACTTTAGAAATGTCTAGTAAGTGTGTTATCCTGTTATGAACCAAACGTCATACATTTTACTTGTATTGGACCTACCTTGTAAGAACGTTACATTACATGGAATTAAATGCTTTTGTCTATCCTTAAGGACTTCCACAACGAACGATCCTGAGCCGTCCGCGTCAGGTACTTCCCGCGACCTTCACAAGGTCGTCGGTCCACCGAGTGGGAGCACTGTCCATTTCGAGATTTTTGATAAATAAATAATAGTAATCTATAATATAAAAAATAAATCGCAAAATTTGTTGGTAAGCGCATAACTGAAAAACGTCTGGACCGATTTTACCAATTCTTTTTCAAAATGTTCGTTGAAGTCCAAGGATGGCTTTTACGGCGAGATTTGCAAAATTCAACTCCTAAGGGGGTAAAACAGTGTCCACGCGTACAAAGTCGCGGGCGGCCGCTAGTAAATACATAAATATCTCTGGACAAACTCGGTGGGAACAAATTACTTACTTTACAAAGTAAAATTTACATAAAATCGACTAACATTACCTCTTTTTTCCAGACGCAGGCATAGGCTCTCTGTACGGCGTTCCAGTTGACCACAGAGAGATATGCAAGCCGACCAGTCGCCATTGTATGCTGTACAAAGAACTGATGACTCTTATGCATGCGGCGCTGAAGAAATGCAGATGNATGCATGCGGCGCTCAAGAAATGCAGATGCGAGAGCGAGACAGAAGATTCTTCATCATCATCGGATCAGCCACAGGACGTCTGCTGAATAGTCTCACTGAGTCCAACCGGCCAATATGGGAGATTTTTAAGTTTATAGCACACTTATCAACCTGTACGGCTAGCATGAAAAACTTTCGAGTTCGAATCGTAGCGTATTCGAATCGCCATCAAAAGATTAAGTACGAAAACTACAACAGCGCCCTTGTGAACGAGTCGTAAAGTGAACTTATGAAATGGTTGCACGAAACTTATTTTGAGAATCAAAATTGTCACGTTATCGTTTGATTCGAAGGTTGAGTATAGAATTTTGTCGAATACGCAAACGATTCGAACTCGAAAGTCTTTCGTGCTAGCCGTACTGGAAAGGGATCAACACGCCTCGGGAGGCGTTTAACGCCCGGATTAACAAACATTACTATGAGATCTTAGTGTATGGACGCACAGAGTGCGTGAACCAATCACAGAGCTCTATTCAACGCTGTGCGTTCGATTTGCTGCTTCATTTAAGCAAATATCGTTTGTGAATACGGGCGCAAGTTACGGTGCGGATAAGTGTGCGTTGCAGTATGGAGTTTCGTATAAATAATATTGACCGCTTAGAGTTGATATAGTTACGATCCGTTTCCGGGTTGATAAGTGTGCTTCGTCCTTTAAGCGTATGTGTTAAACCTTGGTATTGCCATATCCGAAAGAGTAGTAAAACTAAAACTTATTAGTTTACCTTCAGATATCGAGGACGTATTAGCTAAGGGCAAAATTTCTCAAGTGTCCAAAACAGGTACCAAAATAAAGGACTGGTCGATTTTACAACCAAAATAAATGATAATGCACGATTCACACTTAAACGAATGATGTCGAATTCTTTCACCAGTTGGCGCTAACTGTTGAACGTAAATTTAATAGAAATGTCCAGTTTGAACTCGCGAATTGGCGCCCCTATCAAGTAAGGTTCTGTCACTCACCAATGAGCGCCAACTGGTAAGCGTAAATATGACAGAAATGGATCGTTTACACACCAGTTGACGCCACCCTTGAGTTATTTGCCAATTGGCGCCACCCTTGAGTCATTTGCCAGTTGGCGCCACTATCGAGTCACTTGCCATTGGTGCCAACTGAGAAAGCAAGCACGGTACCATTTTACCAATTATTTTATAGTTACCTCAGATTGTGATGCTAAACTTGATTCCATTTCAGTAAGAATGTAGTTTTTTCAGTAGTATGTTTAGAAACATTTATGTGTTTTAAATACAAGAAAAATATGTATAGTTACCATAGTAACATCGTGACTTAAAATAGTAATTATATTATTTAATTGACCAGCAATATTCATATAAATATAACTATTTTTATAAGCCAATCCAAGACGAAATCGAATAATTATTGTATTTTTATTATTATAAGGTTTTTTTACACAATAAGCCACTCTAAGACAATAGAATATTTATTATATTTCCATCCATATATCCATATTATACATATTTTCATCCATAATAATATAATATTCCTATATATAAATCTTTGTCCATTAAAGTTACATTTAAATCTCAATTTATACACTTGCGTCCATAGTCCATTTGGCAAGATACTTTTATTGTTTAACAACTATTGTTTTCTACAGCTTTTAAAATAACGCCTACCTCGAATAAACGCCACCCACTCAGCGAATCGCCATTATTTGTAATTAATGCCTATATTTTTGTTATTTAATTCTTAAATCTGGAAGACAATCCTTCCATTTTATCTTTATTTAGTTTTATCATTGATAGTTCGTAAGTCAAAGAGGTGTATTTTTAGATATTATATAGATTTATATAAAATATTTGTATAATTTATAAGATATAAATGTTAAAAAGTATTTTTAAAGTCTATAGGTAGTTTACGGGGCAACTGTGATCAAATAGTATAAGTCAAATAAAAATATCTAGAGCATTTATTTGAAATATCCAATCAAAAATAATTTTCTTCGTGCGTATTTCACAATAAGAACTGAAGTATGGATCAAGACCAAAGAGTTACGCCCGTATTCACAAACATTACTATGAGGTCTCACAGTGCGCGCGGACGCACAGGGTGACACGCGAACCAATCACAGAGCTCTATTCAACGCTGTGCGTTCGATTTGCTGCTTCACTTAAGCAAGTCGTTTGTGAATACGGGCGTTAATTGCCTTTTTAAGTACCAATTTTATTCTCCTACTTAATCATCATAAATCAACAGCTTGTAAAATAATGAAAAAGTTGAATTTCTTCTTTGAATCCCCAATAGGTTTTAACGTCGATCCATGAATTTAGTTCAAAATCTATTTACTTAATTTGGTATATTGGCATATCATGTTTTTTTTTTAACAAAACTGATGATAAGGATTTTCTAAACCTGTATTAAAATACTTTTTGCTGTGTCATAACTGTATCAATAAATTATATTACGTGCCAAAATGACCCTTCCTTTTATTTGCTTCGAACAATTTCAGAACCAACCAGTTGGACCTTAGTCGACAGTGGCGCCAACTGGAATGTGAAAGTATAACAGTCTTCCTAATGCTAAGCTACCACCGTCTTACTTAAGTCTGTCGCCATAACAACAATGTTAACAGCATTATTGTGTTCCGGCAGTTAGAGGTAAGATAGCCAGTTCCTCCGTGGTTGAGGATTCCGGGTGAAGCTCGCTTCCACCTTCGGCCTGATCGTCACTTACCATCAGGTGAGATACAGGCCAAGAGCTTCCTCGTTGTGTATTAAAAAAAAACAATAGCCCTCATTGGTTGCTATATTGAAATAAAAGAAATATTCTAATTCACATATTTATTGTGCGCTTACTACAACTATCATAATATTCGTTACAACATAAAATTGACCTAAAGTATTTATACTTACAACATTAATACAACCATCCAANGATTCGAAGGTTGAGTATAGAATTTTGTCGAATACGCAAACGATTCGAACTCGAAAGTTTTTCGTGCTAGCCGTACTTGGAAGGGATCAACACGCCTCGGGAGGCGTTTAACGCCCGGATTAACAAACATTACTATGAGATCTTAGTGCGTGGACGCACAGGGTGCACGAACCAATCACAGAGCTGTATTCGACGCTGTGCGTTCGATTTGCTGCTTCACTTAAGCAAGCATCGTTCGTGAATACGGGCGTAAGTTACGGTGCGGATAAGTGTATGTATGGAGTTTCGTGTAAATAATATTGACAGCTTAGAGTTGATACGGTTACGGTCCGTTTCCGAGTTGATGAGTGTGCTTCGTTCTTTAAGCGTGTAATGTGTTAAACCTTGGTGTTGCCATATCCGCAAGAGTTGTAAAACTAAAACTTATTAGTTTTTCTTCAGATATCGAGGACGTATTAGCTAAGGGCAAAAAATCAAAGTGTCCAAAACAGGTACCAAAATAAAGGACTGGTCGATTTTACAACCAAAATAAATGATAATGCACGATTCAAACTTAAACGAATGATGTCGAATTCTTTCACCAGTTGGCGCTAACTGTTGAACGTAAATTTAATAGAAATGTCCAGTTTGAACTCGCCAATTGGCGCCCCTATCGAGTAAGGTTCTGTCACTCACCAAGGAGCGCCAACTGGCAAGCGTAAATATGATAGAAATGTCTAATTTGTTTGCACATACCACTTGGCGCCACCCTTTAGTCATTTGCCATTGACGCCAACTGAGATAGCAAACACGGTACCATGTTACCAAGTGTTTCATAGTTACCTCATATTGTGATGCTAAACTTGATTCCATTTCAGTTAGAATGTAGTTTTTTCAATAGTATGATTAGAAACATTTATGTGTTTTAAATACAAGAAAAATATGTATAGTTACCATAACCATAACATCGTGACTTAAAATAGTAATTATATTATTTAATTGACCAGCAATATTCTTAAGATATTCATATAAATATTTATAAGCCAATCCAAGACGAAATCGAATAGTTATTGTATTTTTACTACTATAACATATTTTTACACAATAAGCCACTCCAAGACAGTCGAATATTTATTATATTTTCATCCATAATAATATAATATTCCTATATATTATATACATTTTTGTCCATTAAAGTTACATTTAAATCTCAATTTATACAGATTACTTGCGTCCATAGTCCATTTGGCAAGATACTTTTATTGTTAAAAATATTGTTTTCTACAGCTTTTTAAATAACGCCTACCTCGAAATAAACGCCACCCACTCAGCGAATCGCCATTATTTGTAATTAATGCCTATATTTTTGTTATTTAATTCTTAAATATGGAAGACAATCCTTCCATTTTATCTTTATTTAGTTTTATCATTGATAGTTCGTAAGGCAAAGAAAAAGGTGTATTTTTAGATATTATATATATTTATATAAACTATTTGTATAATTTAGAAGATATAAATGTTAAAAAGTATTTTTAAAGTCTATAGGTAGTTTACGGGGCAACTGTGATCAAATAGTATAAGTCAAATAAAAATACCTACAGCATTTATTTGAAATATCCAATCAAAAATAATTTTCTTTATGCGTATTTCACAATCAACTCAAGTATGGAATAAGACCCAAGAGTTACGCCCGTATTCACAAACAATTACTATGAGGTCTCATAGTGCGCGTGAAGCACAGGGTGACACATGAACCAACCACAGAGCTCCATTCAACGCTGTGCATTCTATTTGCTGCTTCACTTAAGCAAGTATCGTTTGTGAATACGGGCGTTAATTGTCTTTTTAAGTACCAATTTTATTCTCCTACTTAATCATCATAAATCAACAGCTTGTAAAATAATGAAAATGTTGAATTATCTTCTTCGAATCCTCAACAGATTTTAGCGTCGATCCATGAATTTAGTTCAAAATCTATTTACTTAATTTGGTATATTGGCATATCATGTTTTTTTTTAACAAAACTAAATGATGAAGATTTTCTAAACCTGCGTTAAAATACTTTTTACTGTGTCATAACTGTATCAATAAATTATATTACGTGCCAAAAATGACCCTTCCTTTTATTTGCTTCTAACAATTTCAGAACCAACCAGTTGGCGCCATGGACCTTAGTGGCGCCAACTGGAATGGTCTTCCTAATGCTAAGCTACCACCGTCTTACTTAAGTCTGTCGCCATAACAACAATGTTAACAGCATTATTGTGTTCCGGCAGTTAGAGGTAAGATAGCCAGTTCCTCCGTGGTTGAGGATTCCGGGTGAAGCTCGCTTCCACCTTCGGCTTGATCATCATCACTTACCATCAGGAGAGATACACAGGCCAAGAGCTTCCTCGTTGTGTATTAAAAAAGAAATAAAAAACAACAATAGCCCTCATTGGTTGGTATATTGAAATAAAAGAAATATTCTAATTCACATATTTATTGTGCGCTTACTACAACTATCATAATATTCGTTACAACATAAAATTGACCTAAAGTATTTATACTTACAACATTAATACAGGCCATCCAAAATACTTTACTTAAATAACTCTACTAAAAATCTAAAGTAACAATTGAATTTTAAGAAATTATTGACTTTTTTACTATGTCAGCGTCAAAGTACACCCAAAGTAGCCAAAAAGTTCGCTACACGTCTTTGTTACAATGAGGGCTATCGTTTTATACTTAACAGTTGGCACCCCTGGCGATTGACAGGACCTTACTCTACAGTGGCGCCATCTTGATGAGTGCAAATGCGATAGTCCTCATACCACTTTAGCGCTCACTGTCTTCGCTACTAGCAAGTGACAGGACCTTTCTCTACAGTGGCGCTAACTGGTGAGCGCTAAAACGATAGCCCTCATTGGAATAAGGTTGTGTTGTCAAATTGGCCACTTTGGGTGTCACGAGCTATTTGACGCTGACTGTAGCTACCATAAGAGAGAATTTTGAATATGAATTTGAGTATTTTGGATGACCTTTACAAATCGTACATTGGAACTCAAAATTTCGTCAAAAATCTAGCTTTCTGAGATCTATTGTGAACAAAATTAGTAATAGCAATAAATCTGTTTGAAATTAAGTAGTTTTTAGTATTTATTTTAATTTTAATTGCTGAGAAATTAGTAATTAGATTCAATAAATCGGTTAAAAAAAACGTGGCAAAGTCTATAAAACCAACAAAGAACTAATTCTCTATGTATTTTGTACTTAATAAATCAATAAAATGTAAAAATCAATTGTGTATTTTTTAGGATATTATTTTTGGAATCAATTAAAAAGTACCAAATTTCTCAGCATCAAAATCAGACTTATTGGGCATTATTACAAAAAAAACGCGCGATAAACACTGGCATAAAATGTCATTTCCACACTAAATGTCAATTTAAACAAGTGTTCAACGTTTAACCTTTTGTAAAAAACCCAAAATTTTTATTTAATAAAATTACTTATTATCTAACAGTTTTAAAATCTAACATTCAAACATCCTGAGCTTCTAACATTACAACTTTTACATTATAATAATACTATTTTAGGTAACACTTTATAAAATATTTGCATTTAAACGGCACACGTGTTATCAACGGTAATTCAAACAATAATGATCAACATTAACATTTGAAGCCGGATCTTAATTTAGGTAACGTGTAATGTAACGTACCGTTTATAGTAACGTACCATTTATAGTAACGTATCATTTATAGTAGCGCAGAATCAGATGGACGCCACCTGAACTGAACTCTTGTGCTCTATTTTTGTATCATTCTGAACACACTTGCACAGTGCGAACGTTACATGTAATGCTCTTATGTCAACCACGCGCGTTACATTATACTTTACTTAAGTGTAGATACGACTTTACTATTATAGTGTGAATATAAATTTGAGTATGAAGTGTAAATAAGCCAGCTTATAATTTTTGAACGTATGGCACTAAAACAAAGTATCAAAGATTTTTAACTTAAAACTAAACGTGCATTTAACGGGTGTAAGTTTACCCTTAACGCAGAGAGTAGAGATTTTACCATTCTAATTGTTTTGTGAGTAAAACTTTATATTTTTTTATCAAATAAGCGCACCTTTCATACCTATAATTTACCTTATGTAAAATAAACCGTGGCGCATGGTATCTGTCTATCTCTCACTCTCATTAACTGGATCTTTTATCCTTTTCTACAGATTTAAAACACATGTTTAACGGTAATCATTATTTTTTTAATCAATTAAATTTTTACACCCCGTTGAGAGTAAATTTACACCCTACAGATATTAAAGCCCTGCCTTTAATTAAATACCATCATTTGAATACACAAATGTCACTTTTAAAATAACAAAAATGCTTAAAATAAATAATGTCATATTAGATAACCTAAACTATGGTACTAAAACTTGACTTAGAAACGACATTATATTTAAAGATGTTCTATGAACGCTGCCACTTAGAATAAAAATGAACGAATGAACTACAATTCTACATTTAATCCGGTCATTTTCAATGTTTATATTCTAGTGATCTTATTTGTGTAATTCAGCATGTATCGCAAAAGCTTGTAAATAGATTGTTACATTGTACTTTATACAAACAGAATGTTACATTAACAATGCTACAAACAGAATGTTACATTAAAATGATTATAAACAGTACGTTACATTGACATCATTAGAAACAGAACGTTACATTGACATTTTTTACAAACAGCTTGTTACATTACAAGCTATCGTGATACATATTGAGTTACACATAATTATCCAGTAAAACATAGTAACATTCAAATAATATTACCTAATCAAAAACTGGACTTTAACATATTTAGATAAAAGAGTTTTTGGTGTAAAAGAGTCTGTTCTCGTCTCAGATTTGCCAACAATATCGTGACATTCATCATAGTTTTGACACAATTCTTGGTAAAAATGAAAGGATGCACAGACTGACTATTCCTATTAATTTACTAAAAAACTGAAGCCAAGGCGAGTCACACTCTATCACTATACGCGCCGCAATAAGTTGCTAGAACATGAAATAGACTATTAAAGGCAATATAAATAACGATTTGAAATAAATATATAACTATGCAATTGAGGTATATGTAGAATATTAAATTATGAAGCACCTATGCGAAAAAATGGTGGTATATTAGGAAGAACTAAGATATTATTAACAAAATGGTAACTATATAAAAGCACACAAATGTCTACATGTATGTCTATAATCTACACTTCAAGCAGACAGAATACATATTTCATATATTTATAAACTTCACATATATTATAGAATATTGCATGTTCTCGACAACTTTTCTGTGGGGGCTGACGGGGATGGCTGGTTTACGACCCTACAAACAAAAATACCCCCCAAAGTGTTTCAATGACTACCCTCCATTTTGTATCAAAAATATTATATATTACCCATTTGTACGACTAGTTTACACGACGAGAATTTATGTACGCTATATAATTTTTATATGTTGTAATTTGACGCTATTTTATGATATGAGTTATATGGAAAATAAATTATATCTTCAGTAAATATATGAACTTATAGAAGGCATTGGACATTGTGCTAAAAAGTACGTTTCGAATTCGACACTATACTATTTCTTTTAAACATTACTTTGAATCGAAAAATTAGTAGATAACTTGAAATTAAATTGCAGTAATCAGAATCAAATAGTGACACCCAAAGTAGCCAAAAAGTTCGCAACACGTCTTTGTTACAATTGGAATTAGGTTATGTTTCAACTTTTTGGCCACTACAGGTATCACGAACTAGTTCACACTAACTGTATATAAATTCGTATACCAAGATGCTCCGCTAGAATATTTCTCCCGACTTCACGCCAAAATCATAATTATTCAAAATCCCAATCAATATTAAAATAATCTAAGTTACATCCTTTAAATTTTGAAACATCTGCATTTTCTTTAGCAAAAATTTACTCTGCATACTTGGTATAGAATCGTCTTTTGAAACTTGTGAGCTCGATTCTTGCGACTTAGCATCGTTTTGTGAAATTGATTCTTGCGACTTAGCATCGTTTTGTGAAATGGATTCTTTTACTTTAGGTTCTGGATTGCAATCTGTTATATTCGGTGACCATATAGTAGAATAAGGATTAGGGGCAATTTTGACATGGCTAGTGGGACTTTCTTGGGAACTTTTCAAGAAGCTCGATCGGACTTTAGAATCGTATACTAAAAACTTATTGATGCTAGGTTTTGTTTCTTGTGGCGTCTCCATTTTGGAAGCTTCCAGATTTTTTGTTTGAAGGCTATTCTCGTGCTTTATTTTCATGTCTTTAAACCTGTTCATTAGAATATTTATGTGTCGACTACGAGTGTTGTTATATTCATTGTCATATTCCTTCATTAGATCGCTGGTCGCTTCTGTATCGTACAAACTATCATTGTTATTATTGTATATATTTTGTTCGTCAACTACATTACTTATTTCGTTTGTATATTCGATCTGAACTCTCAGTTCGTCTTTTAAAAAGCACTCATTTTTAATAACTACAGTGTTTTTGGTATCGAATATGTTTTGACACATTTCGTCTATTTCTGACTCTAACGTATCAGTGTTGAAATTTAGAGGGTCTTTTTCGTATTTATTAAGAACATCCGCTAGAAAACTTTCGCTGTCTGGTGATCTATAACTCCTATGGTACGTTTCTCTCACGCGTACGACTTCTGTGCATTCAAAAACGTTTGGCTTCTTTAAATTTTTATTTATCTTTTCATCCAGATTAACTCTGTGCCTAGCGTTGTTTTTGATGAAATACGCGCTTATTGGATCTTGTGTTACCCTGTTTTTATTACTAATTTTAGCGTCATTTGTTGTATCTTTTTCTGTGTTCGTATCCGATCTCTGACTTTTATCTAGACCCAGTTTATTTTCATTCTGTAACTCTGTAAATTGTTTTAGTCTGTCTGCGATTGAGCTTTTAGGTTTAGGCCTAACTTCATCACTAAAGCTAGAAATATTACCTTTTTTAATACTACTAATTGTTTCTGAACCTTGACTACATTTAACAGTGTCATAGATGGATTCAATTTTATTCTTCTTCCGTTTATCTTTATCAAAAGATTTCAACACGAACCCTTTGCTTAAATCATTTGTATCATCTCCATAAGAATCTTTACGGCTCTTCCTTTTACCTACATCAATATTACCAACATCATCGTCTTTAGATTTAGCTGCATCCTTTTCGATCATTCTAGCAACATAACTTTTCAGCCTCACAATTTCTTCTGCGTCATCGGTGTCTGATGATTCATCATTATCTGGGTGTTCATCGTCCCAGCTGTCATCATCAGAATTGTGCTCATCAACCTTCTTACTTTCAATTACAGGCTCATCGCTTTGGACTCTAAAATCGTCTTCGCGAACAATTCCAGCTTTTCTTGTACTTATATCATAAGCACCGTGCCCAGTTAGTCCAGACCTCGTAGTAAAATCAACATTATAGTGCTTACTATAAGTTTCTCCTCTAACGTATCCAATTTTTTCCATCGCAATACTCTCAGTAACTTCCCTATTTCTGATCTTATCCTCGATATAACCTTCAGTATCATCCCAATTCACCCTGCCTCCCCTATAACTGACTTCTTCTACAAATCTAACCTTTCTAGTCCTAATACCTTCAGTATTGTTTCCTATAAGAGCCCTAACCCCCCNAACCCCCCTATCCATCCCGCTACCGTCGCCAATTACATTCCTACTCTCCCTAAGCACCCTAGATCCTCCATAACCATCTTCAGCCTTATTCATCCGACTATTGCATTCATCAATATCATCCCTATCGTCGCCAATTAAGTCTCTACCCCCAGAAATTCTCGTCCTACTATTCCAACCCTCCATAACGGCCCTAGTTCGATATCCAGCCCCCTCTTTGCCTACAAATTCAGTCATTTCCACCCCACTACCCCCTTCCTCATCTCTACCCCTCTTAATAGCGTCTTGTTGTACAAACTCAGCCTCATCCATCCCTCTACCATCTCCAATCACACCCCTGCCCTCCCTATCCCCCTTATCCATCCCAATATCATCCTTATAGTCGTCATTTAAGTCTCTACCCCCAAAAATTCTCGTAATACCTTCACTATCATTCATATCCTTATCCATCCCAATATCAACCCCTAATGTTCTCAAATCCCCCCTATTAGCATCATCTCGTACAATCTCACTATTGTTTTGATCAATATCTTTCCTATCGTCTCCAATTACACCCCAGTCCCCCTTATCCATCCTGCTGCCATCCCTATCGTCGCCAATCAAGTCTCTACCCCCAAAAATTCTCGTAATACCTTCACTATCATTCATATCATCCTTACCCATCCCAATATCAACGCCTAATGTTCTCAAATCCTTCCTATTAGCATCATCTCGTACAAACTCACCCTGATCACTATTGTTTTTATCAATATCATCCCTATCGTCGCCAATTACACCCCAGTCCCCCTTATCCATCTTGCTACCATCCCTATCGTCGCCAATCAAGTCTCTACCCCCAGAAATTCTCGTCCAACCTTCACTATCCGAACTAGCCCCATCTTTGCCTACAAATTCAGTCATTTCGACCACACTACCCCCTTCCCGATCATCTCTACCCTTCCTAATAGCGTCTTGTTCGATTCTATCCTCTCTAATCACACCTCTAACACCCTTATTCATCCAGCTACCATCCCTATAGTAGCCACCTAAGTCCCCGCCCCCTCCAGCCGCCGCCACCCCCCCCGGCGCGGACAGCGCGCGGCCCGCCTAAGCAAACAGCACGTGCGCCGGCGCATCGGCCACTTCGCACGCAAACTGATCCTGCTCTAACGGCTTCTTCACCCACCTACCTAGTTTGGCTTTGTCGAACGCGTCGATTAGACACTGTTTCGCTACCTGCGGGTAGATAAATAAAAGTTGAGTGAGAATTGAAATGCATGTCTTCAATGCTTAAATCTAAATAACCATGGAATTACAATCATCTTGGGTAACTTTGTTTTTTTCTGGATGAATTTGAACAGGAAAAAAAATCTTACAAAATTCGTTTAAAGTAGCTCTAATATTCAGATATCTTTGAATATCTGTAAATTCAGGTAATTTAAAAAGTCTTATACATGGTAGTAAATTATTGACTGTAGTACTTTTATCTTCACTGATTGTAAAATCTCACTTTTGAATATTCGAGGGTAATACCCACTACGAACTACGATTTAATCAGAAGAATAAAAGAGGAGTTCAAAGTGTATAATATTGACTTCCCTCTGCTGGAAAATGCTTTCTGCATTATTAAGTTCCTAAAGGGTTATCACAAGGAATTTAATCAGAAGAATATACAGGGTGTTAGGTAAATGGGTATATGAGCCGACACTAGCCCATGTTAACATGGTCATATAAATGGTATGGTGAAGTCAGAAAATTGACATCTTCATTTTAATTATTTTATTTTTCATAAGAATCGTATTTTATAAAATTTATTTTGTATGAAAATTAAAAAAATTAAAATGATGATATCAAACTGACTTCACCATACCATTTATATGACCATGTTAACATGGGCTAGTGTCGGCTCATATACCCATTTACCTAACACCCTGTATAAGAAGATTTTAAACTTTCGCGTTCCATTTCAACTAAAATAGAAAGACACAGGTCTTAACACGACGTTTATTAATCGTAATCGTGGTCACAAGCAGACAACTGCTTTTGACCACGGCTGCAGCATCGCAGCCGAAACGTCAAGCCAGTGAGTACATAATGTAACTTATTAATAAGACCCGTGTCTTTCTATTTTAGTTAAGAATACTGAGTTGATACCGTTACAAATCCCTTTCCAGGTTGATAGTTGTGCTACGTCTTTTAATCACAAGTATATAGAAAGATAATATAAATGCCACTTACCTGATAAGTAGGGCAGAGCTGCTTCGCCTCGTTGTACAATAAGTGCTCCATGTCTTCAGGCATCTCCACCGGATCTATCCCGATATTGTTGTCCTGGAACGAAGAAATAAGGGAAATATTTAAAAAAAATTGTGGCAGTCAATAAATTAACTTTTTTAATGTCAACTAACCTATTTACTAGTGGTGTCAACTATTATTGACTAGTAGTGAAACTAGCCTATTGACTAATGATGTCAACTAGCCCTAGTGTGTAAAATTGCCTATTGACTAGTGTCAAACATATTATTGACTAATTGTGTCAACTAATCTGTTTACTAGTGGTGTAAACTACTATTGACTAGTGATGACCAGTCTATTGACAAATGGTTTCATCTAGCCTATTGGCTAATGGTGTCACCTAGCCTATGACTAATAGTGTCATCTAGCCTATTGACTAAAAGTGTCAACTAGACCATTGACTAAAAGGTGTCAAGTGGCCTATTGACTAATAGTGACTAGCCTGTGGTATCAACCAGCCTATTGCCTAGAGATGTGTAACGTGTAACCTATTGACTAGTGGTGTCACCTATCTTATTGACTAATGGTTTCATGTAGCCTATTCCTGTGGCTGAACTGATGATGATAATTCATGACGCCTATGATCTATGATGATCGCCTATGGTCGAGAATGCTTTAGTGCATTAAGTTCGCCTTATGTTCAAATTTATTTTGGCATAAAAGTTTAAATAAATAAATAAATAAATCTGCAGTGGACGTCCTATGGCTGAAATGATGATGATGATGATGATGATGATGTTTAATGATGATGTTGACAGTGTCAAGTAGGCTATCCTGTGGCTGAAATGATGATGATGATGATTACCTGTGGCAGCAGAGGCAGCCGCCTGATGACGTGCTGTCAACTAGTACATTTTTTATCAAATACTTGACAGACGCGTTTGAGTTTCTTCCGCCACTTCTCAGCCAGTCCATAAGTTGTCCTGAAGTGGTGGCAGGGCATGCTATATTAGGGATGTAATGATTATTATCACTATAAACTACCTGCGGCAACAGCGGCAGCCGCTTGACGACGTGCTGCCAGCGCGCGAACATACTCTGCTTGCAAAGCAACGACGGCTGCCCGCTTTCTAGTTTACCAGTGGTTGCGTTCACCACTTCGGAGCTGCGGCGGCTGTAGCCTACTGACTAGCTGGTGGTGTAAACTAGCCTATTGACTAGAGGTGTGTAACCTAGTGACTACTGGTGACTGACTAGCCTATTGAACAGTGGTGACTAACCTATTGACTAATGGTGGCACCTAGCCTTATTGACTAGCCGTGTCACCTATCCTATTGACTAATAGTGTCACCTATCCTATTGACTAATGGTGTCAGCTCATTCCTGGGGCTGAAACGATGATGATGAATCATAACTTACCTGCGGCAGCAGCGGCAGCCGCTTTTCGACGTGCTGCCAGCGCGCAAACATACTCTGCTTGCACAGCAGCGACGGCTGCCCGCTTTCTAGTTTACCAGTGGTTGTGTTCACCACCTCTGGAGCTACGGCGGCTGTAGCCTACTGACTAGTGATAACTAGCTGGTGGTGAAAACTAGCTTATTGACTAGAGGTGTTTAACCTAGTGACTAGTGGTGACTGACTACGTCTATTGAACAGTGGTGACTAACCTATTGACTAGTAGTGCCAACCAGGCTACTGACTAATGGTGGCACCTAGCCTATTGACTAATGATGGCACCTAGCCTATTGACTAATGGTGGCACCTAGCCTATTGACGAATGGTGGCACCTAGCCTATTGACTAATGGTGGCACCTAGCCTATTGACTAATGGTGGCACCTAGCCTATTGACTAGCCGTGTCACCTATTCTATTGACTAACAGTGTCACCTAGTCTATTGACTAATGGTGGCACCTAGCCTATTGACTAATCGTGTCACCTAGCCTATTGACTAATAGAGTCACTTAACCTATTGACTAGTAGTGCCAACCAAGCTATTGACTAATGATGTCATCTGGTCTATTGACTAACAGCGTCAACTAGCCTATTGACAGTGTCAAGAAGCCCATTCCTGTGCCTGAAATGATGAGTGAGTTTCTTCCGCCACTTCTTCTCAGGGCAAGCTGTATTTGGGACGTGTACAAGTGCCTAAAGTGTCTTTAAACCAATAAATACGTTACTCTACCTGCGGCAACAGCGGCAGCCGCTTGACGACGTGCTGCCAGCGCGCGAACATACTCTGCTTGCACAGCAACGACGGCTGCCCGCTCTCTAGTTTACCAGTGGTTGCGTTTACCACTTCTGGGAGCTGAAAAGATGATACAATACTTGGTAATGGGCAAAAACTATAATAGAACAGAGGGCTTAGTGTGAGTTTAAATCAGACGTGGTCACTAGCGAGCGCGTTAAAAAATATACAGGGTGGAAACGACAAGTGATCTCACTCGATTATTTCTAAACTATACAAGATATCTAAAAATTGGTTACTGATCCTGAAAGTGCTTCACAAGCTCTATCCAACGGTATCAATAATATGTTACAAAATAAACTGGATCTATCCGAAAATTCTATGTTTCCAGATTCCATACATTTAGTAAAACCACATAATATTAAAAACTATACAAGATATCCAAAAACTGGTTACTGATCCTGAAAGTGCTTCACGAGCTCTATCCAATGGTACCAATAATAAGTTTCAAAATAAACTGGATCTATCCGAAAATTCAATGTGTCCAGCTTCCATACATTTAGTAGGTACTGCTACAGTCATGGTACTCATGTCTTGATAATATTATAGCAAGTAAAGCCTAAAACCAATGTTTTCTATGAATGATTTTAAATAAGAATGCAATTTACGAGATCAATTTAAGTGTTTATTGTTTAATAAAAAAAATAACACTTCTTATATTGTGTGGCTGGCATACATTTAGTATGGAGGCTGAAAACATTGAATTTTCGGATAGATCCAGTTGACTCTGTAACTTATTACTTATACCGTTGGAAAGAACTCGTGAAGCACTTTCAGGATCAGTAATCAGTTTATCGATATCTTGTATAGTTTAGAAATAATCGCGTGAGATCACTTATCGTTTCCACCCTGTATGAAGATTTTAGTTCTTGAGTTTCCGCTCTCAATCGCGGGGTCAACCAGTTTTTTTCTGATTGAGGTTTCCGGGTGAATCTGAGGTGGAATTGTGTAAAGCAATCGTAGTCATTTGACAGTTCATAACGTACGATTATACTGTCAAACGTTTTACCTGACTTTATCGTACGTTATGAACTGTCAAATGATTACGATTGCTTCACAAAATTCCACCTTTGATCATCACTTTTCATCAGGTGAGATGCAGGACAAGACTGTTCGTTGTGGATTGAAACAAAACAAAACATCATTACAGTGGCGCATAAACACACATGGCGTTGTGCTTCATGGTCCTTCGAGCCGGATATGATCCAGCATTTTCAGGACCTTTGTAACGGATAAGAGCTCTTTAGACCCATGGGATAATTCTTCATTTTGGTTGTGCACCTGCAGTATTTCCACTGCTGTCCTGACGACCTGATGATGATGGTGTACTCACGTTAGTTGTGGCGCACCAGCACACGCTGAAAGACGGTGCCCTAGCCGGAGTACGGGCTTCAGTGCTGGCAGAGCGCGCCAAGAGCGGCCTATGCAGCCTGAAGGGCGGTGGGAGCGACTGGATGGAGTCTCTTTAGGGAGGGTCTTTAGGGGGAGTCTCTTTATGGGCGGGTCTCTTTAGGGGGTCTCTTTAATTGGGAGTGTCTTTCTGGAGAGTCTATTTAGGGGAGTCTCTTAAGAGGGTCTCTTAAGGGGAGTCTCTTTAGGGGGAAGTCTCTTTGAGGGGTCTCTTTAGGGAGTCTTTAGAGGGAGTCTCTTTGGGTAGGAGTCTCTAGGAGCATCTGGTCAATTTGGGGTGTGGGGATAGTCTCTTTAGGAGGGGAGTCTCTTTAACAGGTAGTTTTGGGGGGGGGATAGTGTCTAGGATGGGAGGGGCTGTCTCTATAGGAGTAAGTTGCTAGGGAAAGTAGTGTTTAGGGGTGTGTATAGTTTTATTATTTATTTATTTATTTATTTNACAGCGGCAGCCGCTTGACGACGTGCTGCCAGCGCGCGAACATACTCTGCTTGCACAGCAACGACGGTTGCCCGCTCTCTAGTTTACCAGTGGTTGCGTTCACCGCTCCGGGGCTGTGGTGGCTGTAGCCTAGTGATAACTAGCCGGTTGTCAACTAGCCTATTGACTAGAGGTGTGTAACCTAGTGACTAGTGGTGCCAACCAGGCTATTGACTAATGGTGGCACCTAGCCTATTGACTAATGGTGGCACCTAGCCTATTGACTAGAGGTGTGTAACCTATTGACTAGTAGTGCCAACCAGGCTATTGACTAATGGTGTCATCTGGTCTATTGACCAGTAGCTTCAACTAACCTATTGACCGTGTCAAGTAGATCTTTCCTGTGCCTGAAATGATGAATGAGTTCCTTCCGCCACTTCTTCTCAGGGCAAGCTGTATTTGGGACGTGTACAAGTGCCTAAAGTGTCTTTAAACCAATAAATACGTTACTCTACCTGCGGCAACAGCGGCAGCCGCTTGACGACGTGCTGCCAGCGCGCGAACATACTCTGCTTGCACAGCAACGACGGCTGCCCGCTCTCTAGTTTACCGGTGGTTGCGTTCACCGCTCCGGGGCTGTGGTGGCTGTAGCCTACTGACTAGTGATAACTAGCCGGTTGTCAACTAGCCTATTGACTAGAGGTGTGTAACCTAGTGACTAGTGGTGCCAACCAGGCTATTGACTAATGGTGGCACCTAGCCTATTGACTAATGGTGGCACCTAGCCTATTGACTAGAGGTGTGTAACCTATTGACTAAAAGTGTCAACTAGCCTATTGACTAATAGTGTCACTTAACCTATTGACTAGTAGTGCCAACCAAGCTATTGACTAATGGTGTCATCTGGTCTATTGACTAACAGCGTCAACTAGCCTATTGACAGTGTCAAGAAGCCCATTCCTGTGCCTGAAATGATGAGTGAGTTTATTCTGCCACTTCTTCTCAGGGCAAGCTGTATTTGGGACGTGTACAAGTGCCTAAGTGTCTTTAAACCAATAAATACGTTACTCTACCTGCGGCAGCAGCGGCAGCCGCTTGACGACGTGCTGCCAACGCGCGAACATACTCTGCTTGCAGAGCAGCGACGGTTGCCCACTCTCTAGTTTACCGGTGGTTGCGTTTACCACCTCTGGCAGCTGGAAAAATGATACAATACTTGGTAAAAGGCAAAACGATGTACATGGTACAGACGACAGTGCATGAAACTATAATTTTTTATTGCGAAATCTCTTCTATAATTAATACATATAAGTTTTTAAACTTTCGCGTTCCATTTCAACTAAAATAGAAAGACACTGGTCTAAACGCGACGTTTAATTAATAAGTTACATTTATGTACTCACGGCTTGGCGTTTCGGCTGCGATGCTGCAGCCGTGGACACAAGCAGACTGGCGGCTCGCGAGTACATAATGTAGCTCATTAATTAAACGTCGCGTCTTAACCCATCTTTCTATTTTAATATCTACATAAGTAGTCTCTAGGGAGACGCGTCATACAAAAGAGAGAGAGAGAGAAGGCTAGAAAGGTTTGCTGTGTGTGACAGAGAGAGAACGCAACGCAGCACAGATATTTTCGAATATGCTGATAGTTGTCAGTCTAAAGACTGTCATGCCATTCGGCGGAGCAGCGTAACTACTACACCCGTGTGGCATCTAACGCGGTCTCATGTCTTGATCTCAAGTCTCTGTCGCGTTGCACCACCTTAAGACTCCATGCGCCTATTTATTCCTATAACCCTTACCACACATCGGAGTAGTAGCGCACAGATATAAAAGCGGTTTCGTCTTGTAGTCCTTCGAGCCGGATATGAGCTCTTTAGATTGTGGGATAATCCATTGCCTCTGGTAAATTAGAGAGGGTCTTGTTTTTGCAGTGGATACAAAGGGTCTTGCTTCTGCAGTGGAGACTGAATGACCTGATGGATGGACTCACGTTAGTTGTGGCGCACCAGCACACGCTGAAAGACGGTGCCCTAGCCGGTGTGCGAGCTTCTGTGCTTGCGGCGCGAGCCAGTAGAGGTCGGTGCAGGCGGAACGGTGGTGGTAGCGACTGGATGTACGATTCGATGCGCCCGCAGATTGCCCTGGAACAAGGATGCACTTACGTTAGATACATTTAAATGATAGATGGGTCAAAGAGGTATATTTTACATAAGCATCACCGATATAAGCCAAAAAAGGATCAAGTTCGGCAACATTGTCATCATCATTTCAGCCACAGGACGTCCACTGCTGAACATATGCCTCCCCCAATGATTTCAAGAATGGCCGATTGATAGCAGCCTGTATCTGTATTTTGGAATTCTAAAAGATGTCTCAAGTCTCTTAACGTGTCCGCGTCATAAGATATTTAATGACAAATGTCACAAAATCTTGTTGATAGCTAATATCTCGCTTCCTTTGGATCTACCTACCTACTTGCATCTATGAAAACTAGCAATACTCAGTTATAATCTTTGTTAAATAAAGGATTTATATAAAATCTAAATAAAATATTGTAGTACGTTTGCATGTTTTTGGAAACACGCGTGCGATGAGGAATTCCTATGGCAAACCGAAATTCATGTGGGCGAAGCCGCAGGCAAAAGTTATAGAAAATAAGAAAATTTGAATATCATTATGAGCCTTTATTAACGAACTTATGTAACATCACAAATCATACAAGATTACATTTAATAAGTTTAATGATAGCCCGCTATGACGCGCTCCATTGCACTTGCCGTAACTTCATTGTAACTCATTCCGATTGTGTGTTCCACCGAGTTTGGTAGGAAGAAGTTGAAAGGAAGGTGCATAGTTACAAAGGATAGAGAAGCTATAGTAAGCAAAATTCTTGCTCCATTTGGAAAGAATCAATACTAAAGTTCGCTTCAGCAGCTGCATTAGTTCTCGTCGTCTAAGCCTAGATGCAGACCACCGACTTTTCAATTGGCCGATAGTTGGGCCCGATTCTAATTTGTATGAAGAATCGACCGATACCAAATAGGTGTAATGTGCGCACTTTGATGCATCTCTATACTGATCAGCCCGACCCAACTATCGGCCAACTAAAAATCGGTGGTCTGCATCTGCGCCTAGGCTAACCAAACTTAAACATGCAGGGCTAGATCGCTTACAGAGTAAATTTATTTTTTATTTATTTATTTATTTATTTCCACACACATTATCACTATCTTTACAGGTTTTCTCGCGACCAAAACGTTAACTCAACTTTACAACGTAGCGAGCTGCGCCAGAGTTACTAAATCGACGCAATATTTTTTTTCGAGTTACCTATTTCTAACCGCAACGGTCAATTACACAAGTTATCATAATAGTTACAGGCCAAATAACCGCTCTAATTAATTGATAGGCCTATTAATAAAATTCGAACCCTAACTACGAACTCCTCGTTCTTCTGTCTGATTTATTTCGTTGCTTCGTCCCGAGGGTAAGTTAAACTGTCATTGGACCCCAATGACAGTTTAACTTTCCCCCGGGATAAACTTGACCTTCACTGGTTGGGTTATTGGCGGTCAAGCTGTAGATCCTGGCTACACAGGAGTTGCAGCGGTGGGAACGACAGGTGGGAATATTCCCGTATCAAACTTGACTTGGAGGCTTGACAGTTTAAAAGTAGGTTACCTCAATACAAACTAATATTGATATATTTTCACAAATAGCTGGCTAGGCCAGTTTTCCATATTTCACTATTAAAATTGCAATGTTGCGTCACAGGCCACAGTAGAAGAGATGGCAGTAGCATTTCTATGGCAGTTTCGACAAAAGTAAATCAAAATATTTATTGGCGGTCAACCTGTAGATCCTGGCTACACAGGAGTTGCAGCGGTGGGAACTAGAGGTGGGAATCATCACCATCAATATTTCAGCCACAGGACGTCCACTGCTGAACATAGGCCTCCCCCAATGATTTCCACATCGCCCGGTTGGTAGCGGCCTGCATCCAGCGCCTTCCTGCTACCTTTATGAGGTCGTCGGTCCACTTTGTGGGTGGACGTCACACGCTGCATTTTCCAGTATAGATCGTTTAATCTACGAAGATGCGCCCCACCAATGTTTGGTCTCGGTCGCGCGGGGTGCGGGGTTTTAATCCGAGCAATCCGAGCTTCATTATTGTAGCGTGCGTGTGCACTCATGGATAATTTAACGTGTACCGATAACACTCAAACATTCGCGGAAGAATGGTGGACGGCCGCCCGTGGCACAGTCGCGACAGTAATATAATTGCGACAGTAATATAATTACGCGCGAGCGATAAGGATGGGTAGCTTGGGGTCATTGGACGAAATTCTACGTGCTCGTCGACCGGACTTTATACGTGCGAATAGAGGCCACTGGTTATATTTTAGCTGTGACAGTGCTACTGCCAGTAATAGGTGGTTAGTTAGGGAAAGGAGTTCTCGCAACGGACCGGTTTTTATGAGGAAACTGGACGTGGTATCCTGTTAATTTTAACTGTCTTCGAGAGATTAGATTAAAGTTGACTAAAAATTGGTAATATTATAAATGACATTAAATTACTTAAAAAAGTTCATTCGTTCGTTTCAGCCAAAAGACGTCCACTGCTGGACAAAGGCCTCCCCCAAGGAATTCCACAAAGATCGGTCCTGCGCCGCTCGCATCCAGGCACCTCCCGCGACCTTCACCAGATCGTCGGTCCACCTAGTGGGAGGCCTGCCCGCGACACATAAAAAGTAATAAAATTATACTGACTTTCATTCTTGAAGATAAATATAAAATGAGTTGACATAGTGATTTTAAAATTACCTACCTAAAAATCCTAAAACAAAATTAGAATAAAAATCAATTCTGTGTAATATTTTTAAAATACTAAAAAAAGTAAGTAAAAAAATTCCGAATTGAATTTTTGAGACACTATAAAATCGTTTTTTTAATAGGTTTTCGAATATAGTCAACGTTACTAATCGTTATTCCATTTATAAACAGATTTTTATGAAATTATACTTCTCCCTTGTTAGTAAATTTTACTGAATAATAAAATTATTTTTTTAAATTACAATATCATTATTCGTATAGTACATAGTATTTTTAACATAGTCAATGCCTGCATCTTTCTATTGATTTCAAAGAACGTATCCAATAACTAGACTCGAAGCATTTATGAAATCTAGTTTCTAGGAAAACTGGTGGGAAAAATCACCCCGTACGCTCGGTCCTTACCAAACCACGCTCTGTGTTAACCGCATCGACTCGCGCGCAGAAAATTTTGTGTACGATTTTTGTGATTTTTTTGAGTTACTGTGTTTTACGATGCAGCCGTCGTTGCCGCTGGCGTGTTTTTTGTCGATGATACGTGAGTTTGTTTTGTTTTTGCAGTTATCTGAATGATATCTGTTGGATAGTGGATAAGGAAGCGAACTTCACCCGGAATCCTCAACCGCTATCTTAAAACTACTGTTTCTATATTAAAAGAAGATTTTCTCAGTGAAAAAGAAAAGAAATTTTAGCAGTTATGTTTTACTAGCTTTTGCCCACGGCTTCACCCGAAATTTTGTCTGTCACAGAAAAACTGTCGCGCGCGTCCCTGTTTCAAAAACCGGGATAAAAACTATTCTATGTCCTTTCCCGGGCCTCAAACTATCTATGCCTTTCATCAAAATCGGTTCAGTGGTTTAGGCGGGAAAACGTGACAGACAGACAGAGTTACTTTCGCATTTATAATATTGCTTCTGAATGTATTGTAACTTCCTACTTTTTTATATTTTTAAACCGGCAGACAGTGGTGACTGAGTTTGTTGCGGCGCTTCTTCTCAGCACTTGCCAAATGTTTGCCTCGATTAGGGCAAAAAAAGAATGAGACATGTATAGGCTCCTTAAGAGCATTTGACGATTTGCAAGTACTAATTTAATTAGTCTAAACAAATAAAGATAATTTTGATTTTGATTTGATTTTGATTTTTGAGTAGGGATTTTCTAAAATTGGCCAGACGGGTTGAGGAGGCCGGATGTCCGCATATTTGTCCCTTAGTCGCCTCTTACGATATCCACGGGAAGAGTGGGAATGTTAGAATGGACTATAGCAGATAGTGTTCAAATAAAAACTGGTTTATAATAAAGTAAAAGTAAGTAGGTACTTATTAGTAATTGAGAATGTTACTAGGTATTCAAAATCACTTGAAACCTATGTTACAGTTAAGCTTTTACATTTACAAATACATTAGTTTTTATTTCATTCAAAAATACCCAGTAGTTATAATTTTATAGGCATTCAAAGTTCGCTTAAATATTAAGTCCCGCCGACGGTCACGTGACCCCGCGTGACGTACATTCACAGTGTCCGCTCACTAGAAAACGGATATAAACATACTGAAATAATTATTTTCTTGTAAATACAAACTTATTATACATATTAACACCCAGACCCATCACAGAAATTAAAATTGAAGCAAACCCAAACTTGATGCGATTGTGTCGTTTTATTGCGAATTACCTTCCAGCTCCATCATCAGACCCTGATTACTATATAGAATTAAAATACTCATCAATACAAAACGAACGAGCCCAAACTCGATGCATTTAAGTCGTTTTATTATAGAGTTCCTATGGCCACCTTCCAGCTCCATCATCAGATCAGCTCCATGTCATCATAATATTGCATGGTCATCCAAATCACATGTGTTTGCGAAATTTCAGCTTAATCTGTTGCNAGGGAGTCTCTTTGTGGGTGGGTCTCTTTAGGGGGTCTTTAGAGGGAGTCTCTTTGTGGGCGGGTCTCTTAAGGGGAGTTTCTTAAGGGAATTTCCTTAGGGGGAAGTCTCTTTGTGGATGCGTCTCTTTAGGGGGTCTTTAGAGGGAGTCTCTTTGGGTAGGAGTCTCTAGGAGCATCTGGTCAATTTGGGGTGTGGGGATAGTCTCTTTAGGAGGGGAGTCTCTTTAACAGGTAGTTTTGGGGGGGGGGATAGTGTCTAGGATGGGAGGGGCTGTCTCTATAGGAGTAAGTCGCTAGGGAAAGTAGTGTTTAGGGGTGTGTATAGTTAAGGGGACAGTCTGATGGCTGGCGGAGGCTATCATAAGGGAGGAGGGCAGTCTTCTAAAAGCTACTTCACTCACATTAGTAGTGGCGCACCAGCACACGCTGAAAGAAGGTGCCCTCGCCGGTGTCCGAGCTTCTGTGCTTGCGGCGCGAGCCAGTAGAGGTCGGTGTAGGCGGAACGGTGGTGGTAGCGACTGGATGTATGATTCGATGCGCCCGCAGATTGCCCTGGAACAAATTGAGTTGCGTTAGATACATTTGATGGGTCAAAGAGGTATATTTTACATAAGCATCACCGATATAAGCCAAAAAAGGATCAAGTTCGACAACATTGTCATCATCATTTCAGCCACAGGACGTCCACTGCTGAACATATGCCTCCCCCAATTATTTCAAGATTGGCCGATTGATAGCAGCCTGTATCTGTATTTTGGAATTCTAAAAGATATCTCAAGTCTCTTAACGTGTCCGCGTCATAAGATATTTAATGACAAATGTCACAAAATCCTGTTATTTACAAATATCTCGCTTCCTATGGTTTTTGCGCGATTTGCATCTACCTTTTAAAATTTAAATAATATGTAAAAAAGATTGTAGCATTTGCATTAGAACCCAAAGAAAAAAATATAAAATTCCCGGTTTTAAATAAGAAAGTGTAATAGCATCGAAATTTGTGGAATTTGTGAATATTTCATAGAAAACAGATTGGAATTTGACTTAGATTTGGATAGGGATTGATTATAGCACACGGGCGTTATCTAACATCGCACAAATCATACAAGATTACATTTAATAAGTTTAATGATAGCCCGCTATGACGCGCTCCATTGCACTTGCCGTAACTTCATTGTAACTCATTCCGATTGTGTGTTCCACCGAGTTTGGTAGGAAGAAGTTGAAAGGCACCTTGCATAGAGTTACAAAGGATAGAGACGCTATATTAAGCAAAATTCTTGCTCCATTTGGAAAGAATCTATACTTATAATAAATCTGTAGAGAGGTCAATTCTGTACATGAAATATATTTTCAAAATAACTATCAGGGGGTGATTAGTGATCGATACTGATGCCAAAAATGCAATCAGTAAAATTTTTGTCTGTCTGTCTGTTTGTATGTTCCTTATAGAAACAAAAACTACTCGACGGATTTTCACGAAACTTGGTACAATTATTCTTCATACTCATGGGCAGGTTATAGTATACTTAGGAATTCCCACGGGAATGGGAATTAGCGGGAAAATCCTTTTGTATGAAAAATCTAAACCGCTTAAGTTAGACGCTTGAAATTTGGCATGCAGGTACCTTAGTAAACTTAAAGCTTAGTTACAACAGGATATTGCAAAATTCCCTCAGGAACGGGAGTCAGCGGGAAAATCCTTTTGTATTAAAAATCTAAACCACTTAAGTTAGACGCTTGAAATTTGGCATGCAGATACCTTAGTAAACTTAAAGCTTAGTTACAACAGGATATTGCAAAATTCCCACGGGAACGGGAGTTAGCGGGAAGAAACATTTGTATGAAAAAATCTAAACCGCGTAAATAGATGAAGGGGGTTAAACGGGATCCACGCGTACGAAGTCGCGGGCGGTCGCTAGTCAATACTAAAGTTCGCTGCAGCAGCTGCATTACTTCTGTCGTCTAAGCCTAGATGCAGACCACCGACTTTTCAATTGGCCGATAGTTGGGCCCGATTCTAATTTGTATGAAGAATCGACCGATACCAAATCGGTGTAATGTGCGCACTTTGATGCATCTCTATACTGATCAGCCCGACCCAACTATCGGCCAACTAAAAATCGGTGGTCTGCATCTGCGCCTAGGCTAACCAAACTTAAACATGTAGGGCTAGATCTCTTACAGAGTAAAGTTTTCTCGCGACCAAAACGTTAACTCAACTATACAACGTACGCAATATTTTTTCCGAGTTACCTATTTCTAACCGCAACGGTAAATTACACAAGTTATCATAATAGTTACAGGCCAAATAACCGCTCTAATTAATTGATAGGCCTATTAATAAAATTCGAACCCTAACTTCGAACTCCTCGTTCTTCTGATTAATTTCGCTGCGGGTCCAATGACAGTTTAACTTTCCCCCGGGATAAACTTGACCTTCACTGGTTGGGTTATTGGCGGTCAAGCTGTAGATCCTGGCTACACAGGAGTTGCAGCGGTGGGAACGACAGGTGGGAATATTCCCGTATCAAACTTGACTTGGAGGCTTGACAGTTTAAAAGTAGGTTACCTCAATACAAACTAATATTGATATATTTTCACAAATAGCTGGCTAGGCCAGTTTTCCATATTTCACTATTAAAATTGCAATGTTGCGTCACAGGCCACAGTAAAAGAGATGGCAGTAGCATTACTATGGCAGTTTCGACAAAATTAAAATCAAATCAAAATATTTATTGGCGTTCAAGCTGTAGATCCTGGCTACACAGGAGTTGCAGCTGGGAACGAGAGTTGAGAATCGTCATCATCAATATTTCAGCCACAGTACGTCCACTGCTGAACATAGGCCTCCCCCAATGATTTCCACATCGCCCGGTTTGTAGCGGCCTGCATCCAGCACCTTCCTGCTACCTATATGAGGTTGTCCCACGCTGATAGATCGTTTCATTCACGAAGACGCGTCCCACCAATTTTTGGTCACGGTCGCGCGGTGTGCGGGGAGTTTGATCCGAGCAATCCGAGCGTCATTATTGTAGTGTGCGTGTGCACTCATGGATGATTCAGCGTGTACCGATAACACTCAAACATTAGCGGAAGAATGGTGACTCGCACACTCGCATAGTCGCGACAGTAATATAATTACGCGCGAGCGATAAGGATGGGTAGCTTGGGGTCATTGGACGAAATTCTACGTGCTCGGCGACCGGACTTTATACGTGCGAGTAGAGGCCACTGGTTATATTTTCACTGTGACAGTGCTACAGCCAGTAATAGGTGGTTAGTTAGGGAAAGGAGTTCTCGCAACAGACCGGTTTTTATGAGGAAACTGGACGAGGTATCCTGTTAATTTTAACTGTCATCGAGAGATTAGATTAATGAATAGTTGACTAAATAATAAAGAATATTTAAAAAGGCATTAAACTTTTAAATTACAAAAAAAGTAATAAAAAAAAGACTTTTCGTTTTGGAAAACATTATAAAATTAGATTACATTGTGATTTTTAAATTACGTACCTAAAAAGTCTAAAAAATTTGAAAAAAATCAATTCGGTGTAATATTTTAAAAATACTTAAAAATCCGACTAGAATTTTTGAGGCAATATAAAATCATTTTTATTTTTTTGTAGGTTTTGGAATATTATATT